TTTGAACAGTTCTTTAGAATGTGCAAATCGACCTGCATTTGAAATAATCCTGACAGCGTGTTTTTGTCTACTAAGCAATTTTTAACTTTACTTACATTAGAGCTACACCATGCAATATTTGCATAGTTTATATAACAATGTATAAGGAAAAAATATAAGATTTTTAAGCAGTTTTGGTTTAAGATTTGCTTAGCTTTGTATAGTATGCCACTATTTTTCGAAGTTTTATTTTCAATTGTTTTTATGTGTTCTCTCCATGTCATGTTTTCGTCAAGTATCACTCCTAAAAACTTTAATGATGACTCTCTAATTATTTTGTTCGCCTTAAACCATTTTGCTAGATTTAAAAACTCCTTGTTTACTATTTTAAATTAAAGATTGATATTTCCATTAGAATAAAATAAATTCGCATCATCTACAAATAAAACTGAGTTTAAAAGGGTTAGGGTCAGGGTTAGGGTTTTTAAATAAGAACTGGCATAAAAGTGATATGGTTTTTCTTGAATCCGAATTGATTGGGAGTCCCAGTGAAACTTTCATTAACGCGTGAGACAAAAATATGTTCAAAAATCTTGGAGAAAATTGTAACCAGAGCAATCGGACAATAATTAGCAGAATTAGAGATGTCCCCATTCTTATCTTTAACCACAGAAGAAATACAGAGTGTCTTAAAAAACAAAAACTATTTATTGTGTAAAAAAAGAAAGAGTGGAGTTTATTAAAAATCCAAATTGCCTATGTTGACAAATAGGTCCAGTTATTCAACCATTTTTAAGAAAAAGAAATTGATGAACCTAATCTGGAAAATATTAAATAAAATTTGTGTCTCAGGAACCTCTGCACCTTTAGAACGTTTTTTTCAATTATGAAAAAGATTTGGTCAGCCCAGTGGACACAGACATAAAAAAGACGTCTTTTAAACGTCTTGTTCACGTTTTTGACGTCTATTGAACGTCTTTTGAACGTTACGGACGTCTTTGAACGTTCAAAAGACGTCTTTTTTTGGTCCGGTGCCCACTGGGAGATAACCGAGGTCTTTTTGAGGAGTCAACAGTCCGTGCAATACTGTACTACAAATTAAACCTTGGCCTTACATGCTAATTAAACCTTTTTTTTTTTTTTTTTTTTTTTTTTTTTGTCTTCCTCTGTTTACATAACATAAGAATTTTACAAATTCCACTACATAATATAATATTTAACATAATAAGTAAGAGTCTTATATTGGATTGCTTTTTAATTAATTTGTCATTTATAAATAGGTTCGGCAACTTGAGAGGAAGATTTTCTTCTTGAGTTTTTTTATGAAAAAGTATATAGTTTATTTTCTCGGCATTAAGTGAGAGTTTGTTAGCTTTAAACCAGTTATTTACTTTATTTAGTTTAATATTCATGTCCGCATATAAATTCTTGATATCGTTGTTGGTAAGAAATAAATTCGTGTCATCTGCAAACATGATGGAATTAAGTTTTAAGGATGCATTACAGAAGTCATTTATATATATTAAAAAAAGAAATGGACCAAGAATCGATCCTTGCGGAACACCACATATGACATTTAACACTCCAGATTGGGCATTATTTACATATTGTTTTCTGTTTGTAAGATAGCTTTTAATCCAATAATAAGTTTTATTAACTATTCCGTAATGTCTTAATTTATCTAAGAGAATACAGTGGTCCACTGTATCAAATGCTTTTGATAAATCAAGAAATACTCCTAAAGTAAATTTATTATTTTCAAAATCATTAGTTATTTGATTTACTACTTCAATTATTGCATGCTCAGTAGAAAATTTTTTTTGAAAACCAAACTGATTTGGGTAAAAAAAATTGTTTTTAATGAAGTTATTATAGATTCTATTATAAACTACACGTTCAAATAGTTTTAATTATAACTTGCTAGAAAAGGTACATTCTAGCGAGAAGTGTAACTGGTATAGTACCAGTGAACAATTTTTTTATTGTATTTCTTTTTTTAAACTTAAAAAATAATAAAAAATATTTTGGTGTTGTTCCTTTACCCTATATCCCCTTAATCCTTAAGCAATGGAGCAATCAAGCTCTTCAATTTTTATATAAAGACTTTCATGGAATCTAGTTACAGGGTACCATGTTTTTTGAAGCACAAAAAAACATTTTCTCCCTCCCACTCCCTTTCTGGTCATTAATTTCAGCACCTTTTCAACACACACCTCCAACCACCAAAGCACACTCCAAAACCCGTTTCTACACCCCCTCTAACCCTAGTACTAATTTTTGTTTACTTGAAAATCAAATAGTTTATTTTAAAAACGCTGGAATATTTGTATAAAACCAGCACTTTATTGCATTTAATGTTGGTATTTTCGTTATGTTTTCAACAATAAAAAAGAAACGCGTTATTTTTATTATTCAAAATATAACAAAAATACAATCGTAAAAAATGCCATTACGTGCTATTTTATACTTATATATTCAAGCGTTTTCGAAATGACCTATTTGATTTTCAAGTGAACAAAAATAATACTATATCTTATTAAAACATTATTGCTTAAATAAGTTAAACCTTCTTTACAAAAGCATTATTCTTCACAAATCTCTCAAAACGCTTTTACGTAAATATTATCGTTTATAATCTGACTAGACATTCTGGAATCCACGGTAACTAAATTACAAGAAAACGTGCAAGTCCCACACCATTGTTTAAAAACAAGATTTAAAAAGTTGAAACTTTTCTCTAAATTAATGAGAACCCTTCAACCACAAAAGTATCTTCATTTTTATTTTAAATTTATTTTTTTTTTTTTAAGTGCTTTGATTTTTTTAAAAAGCGATCTATTTTTTCTCCTCAAATTATTTGTTTTCAACTTGGACGATTTAAATCTATTAAATTTTGAACTTCCGGCACATGATAATAAATTTTGAACTTCCGACTCATGATGATAAATTTGCTATAATATGATTTTTATTTTTGTTTTTTATTTTTTTGTTCGGCTCAAATTTTAATCATTATTATAAAAATTACTTATTATTGTTATTAATATATATTATATATTTTTATTATAAAGATCACCTTTTTTTTTAACTTTACTTTAAAAGAATCTTGGTTGAGGAGTTTAAAATGAATTAAATACGTTTAAAATTAGTTGCTATGGTGTTGCTAAAGATCAATATTATATAATCCTATTTTTTTGATAAAGAAAAAATGAAATATTTAAAGAACTTATATTACAAAATAAATAGTTCTACTGTTTTTACAGTCTGAAATTTCTAGTATCATTAGAAGCGTAATTTTATATACTTAAAGGTGGTAATTAGGGTGGATCGATTTTCATGGCAAAAAAAAAAATGTTTTAAAATCAATATTCCTGAGACACGAGTCGATGTCTATTAATTATAAGATGAAAGTAAAAAAATATTTTTTGATTTTGATGAGATCTTGAGGTTCCTCTTTGGATTCTAAATCCTTGACGGATCCTAATACTTTTGAATTTTTTTTTTTCCTAAACTTTATCAACGTTGGACTTAAAAAAAGCAGAAAAAAAATGCTTGTTTTATCAGTAATAGCTTTATTGAAAAAAATTTATAGTGAAAAAATTATTTGCAAAAATTTACCTTAAAACCCCCGTTTTGATGAAGACGGGGGTTTTTTAATGAAAAAACGACATTTTTTTATTTAGTTTTGAATTAAATCAAATGTTATATTCAAAATAAGCGTATTATTCTGCTTCTTTTGAGTACCAGCTTGATATAGTTTAAAAGAAAAAAAATTTTAACAATATTAGGATCCGTCATAAATATAGAATCCAAAGAGGAACCTCTAAAACTCGTTTAAATTAAAAAAAAAAAGTAAGGTTCTTTTTTCACCAAAAGACTTCGATTCGCAGCTCAGGCAAATCAAATTACAAAAATTTTTAAAATCAATCCACCCTAGTGGTAATATAGTCAAAAGCACCGAATTATATAATATTTTTAGATTTTTTCAAAATTGTCGAAAATCACAAAGAAAAGAATAAATAAATAAGGAATTTTAAAAATCATATTATCTGACCAAAAACAGCTAATTCTTCAAATGGCAGAGGTTGATCATCAAAAACTAGTTAAATAAGGTAAACATCTGAAAAGTTTTAACTTTAAAAAACTAAACATGTACAGGAACATGTTCCTGTGCATATTTAGTTTTTTGTTTGTTAACAAGCAAAAAGCTACTCAGTTCTGCGTTTTAATATAAAACCATATCCTCATTTTGAATCACCAAATGGCAGCTAAGCGCAATATTGTTATTCAGACCTAAACGAAATAATCTTTAAAATTTAAATAAAATGAATGTTCAAAAAAAGATTTAACTGTTAGGAGGTGAGGTGTAGAACATTTTTTCGCTTTTCGCTACATCGTTGCATGATATAATTTCTTTTGTATTTTCTTTCATTTTAGTTGTTTAAGATTCATTCAAACACTTAAGCTCATACGAGTTATATATTATAAGTTTATTATAACATATGTTATAATATATAAGTTATTATAAGTTACACTATAAGTTTATACTTATTATATAATATTTATACGTATTATACCCCACGTATACATAAACTGTGAGGGTTTATTATATAAAGATTATTATTACATCATGTAAACACAGGCTGTGTGCGCTTTGTTACAGAAAGTATACAAGGCGTATTGTTGGTATTAACTGCTGTTTTTATAAAAAATGCTAATAGATTCTAGCCTTAAGCCTTTTTTGACGGTTTTGTAGAGACGAGAGATAACTGTAATCTTAAAACTCAAGTAGATATGTAATTTGTTCCCCATCGGAATTAACAAGTCATCTTTGTATTATCATTCTTTATGTTCAATTTTGATTTCTCTGACTCTATATAAAAATCGAAGAAAATAATATTTATTTTAAATTTAAAAAAGACGCAGAAAAAAAAAATTATTTTTAATTGAAAAATGTTAACTATAAATTAACTTTCTTTAGATCTAAATTTTGTTTTATTTTTTCCAAAAACTTTAAAACAAACTTATTATAAGCACACTTCTTAGTAACAACCCAAATTTCAGATAAATCTGGCCATCCGTTGATCTCTAGAACAACCACACCTTTTTGTTCCGAGTCCATTAAATCGACCCCAGCAACAAGAACATCTTCACCTAACGCCTTTACTGCCCGCTCAGCAACTTGTTTAAATACTTCATACTTTGGATGGTTCATACCAGAATACCAACGACATGCGTCACCAAAACCAACGCAAGATCGATAATCCCCACTTGTATCTTCATACTCAACAATTCCGTAACATTTACCATTAAAACACAAAACTCTTAAAGATTTTCCGTAATAATCAGGAATAAATTTTTGTATTAACAAATGCTCTCCGTTCCACAACGACTTTCCAATGGCATTTATAACGCCTACTTTATGGTCTAACTTAATGATGTTGTCACCGCAATAATCATTATATGGTTTAATTAAACAAGGCAAGACATCGAGTTTATCTACTAGTTGCTTAGTGCTTTTTATCTCAAACGATTGGTAAGTATCTGGTATAGCAATATTGGACTTGGCAAAATGCATCGCTTGCAATAATTTACTATTTAAAATTTGCTCCATATTGTGTGAATGTAAACAAGTCACGCCTTTTTCTTGCATTATTTTAACTATGCTATAGTATGCATCCATATTAAGCTTTTTCCGATAGCCGTAAGATAAAAATCCGTCTAAATCACATTTTTCTCCGTGAATCCAAATATCTATTCCATTATTACTGGCTTTAACAAAAATATCCTCTAACTTGAATTTTAGCACTTCCGCGCCTTCATATTTTAAATAGTTGCACAAAATATCATCTAATTTGTCATAAAACACTATATCTTCATTAATCAAATACCCAATTTTGATAGGTTTCTGAATTTTCTGATAACCTTTTGATGATAGTACTTGCGTTGATAATGCCGAGGGCAATAAATGCAAATAGGATACAAGGAGAAGGTTTACATTCTTCTCTGTTTTGCAATCAACTAACAACTTTTGAAATTCATCTATGTCTTCTTCGCCCAAGTTTCTATTTAAAAACTCGATTTGAGTTTCGATACTTTCGCTAAACTTTAGTCTATTCATTTTTCTATAATAAAGTTTTAACTTTACTTAAAATACAAAATTTAAAAACTTAACTAAAAGTTTTATTTTACACGTTAAACGAAAGTTTTGTAAATTTCAATGAAAACAATTTAAATCTTTTAATGTTTCATTAAAAGAAGCCTAGTGAAGCGTGATAACAATTGTATTATTAGTAATTGAATCGGTAGGATTCAGCTATTGTTGTCGTGTGATATTGTGAAACTATAGAGTTTGTACTTTTATTAAATTAGAAATACAAGCCAATTAAGATAAAATATCAAAAATATTTAATAACGATAGAAAAAATACTGTTTAAGTAGGCGTTTTTTTTTTTTAAAAAAAAAAAAAAAAGAATACAAATCAAATTTATCTTATTATTATGTCATCAAAATACTTATTAAATATATTGACAATGATATATTACTTCTCTAAAAAGGTAACTTCTATTATTATATTATTATTTTAACCTAGTTGCGAAAAATCAATACTTTATTTGATATTCCAATCATACGAAATAATTATCCCAATAAAACGGAAGCCGTTTAAGATAATTCATAAAACGTAAGAGTAGTGAGAATTTTTTAGTCTACTTATCGGGGCTCACCCCATTCAAAATAGCTAAAAATTTGATTTTTTAGAGTATTTTGTTTTTTATATTTTAAGTGTAAATATTAGTGTGGAATCTAATTCTAAGTAATAGTTTAAAAAAAAAAAAAGTTAAAAAAAAAATAAATAGGCATGTTTCTTGTTTATTTTATATCCTTAGAAACGCATATAGCAACAATTGTATTTATTTTTTCCACATTTAGACATTACTTTTTCTTTTAAGTTAATCTTCCATGAATAATAAGTGATGTCTCACCAAGTGTACGGACGCATAAGAGGGAGGGGGGGTCGGAGAGAAAATTTTTTTTTTTACATAATTCTTTTTTTTACATAACTCTTAATGAAACATGAATGAGTTATAATTAACGAATTTTTAAGAAAATTCGTTAATTATAACTCATTAAAAAATTTTAAAATTTTTAAGACATGTTTGGGTCCTGCTAAAATAGGTTTAGTCTTAGACAAGGCCGGCGTGATAGGGGGGTGTGGGGGTGTCACACCCCTCCCCCCCCCATTAATGATTTTTAGTCGGCAAATTGGACCGTTTTAGACTAGTTAGTCGGCAAATGTTGACCCTTTCGATATAGGTTAGACAGTCGGTAAATGTCGTCATGACAATCGGCAAATTTTGGAAAACAAGGAACTTTTTTTTTTTTTTTTTTGTAATTGTCGGCAAAAGTTGTAATGGCACCCCCCTTCCCCTACGTGACAACTACTCGCGCCGGCCCTGGTCTTAGATAAAAACCATAAAATTATATGAACGTATGAAAATAAAAAGTTTTAAAGAAACATGGTTGCAATATATTTTTTAAACTTAAACTCAAAAATATTAAAAAAAAAAGTTTTTGATAACTGTCTATCTAAACAGATAGAGACAGTTATCAAAAACTTTTTTTTTAATATTTTTGTGTTTAAGTTAAAAAAAAAAACATTTAAATTTTTAGATTGAAAACCTTAACTTAATGCAGGAAAAAATAAATAAACCGCTTGAAATTTTTAGCTTAGTTTACGTTTACGCATTTTTAATGACGTATTTCATTATAATTCTACAAAAAATGGCGTTTTTAAAGCGGTTTATTAATGTTGATCTTTCAAACTTTTTTCAAATGAGAAGTTAACTTGAAATTTTTATATTTTTAAGCTAACTTTTAAGTTAATTTTTTTAAAAATTATCTACCCCAGCTTGAAGCAACTAAATGCCAAAATTTTCTGATACCAAATGGTTGTTATGTTTGTGTTTAATTTCTTGGTATTTTTAGTTATTAGATAAGTTGTATAGATAATTATAAACTATGTAATAGAGATAAACTATATGATAGAGATAAACTATGTGATAGAGATAAACTATGTGATAGAGATAAACTATGTGATAGAGATAAACTATGTGATAGAGATAAACTATGTGATAGAGATAAACTATGTGATAGAGATAAGCTATGTGATAGAGATAAACTATGTGATATAGATAAGTATAAAAATAATTATTACTGTATAAAGAAGAGCTTGGTGGTACAAAAAAAAAAGGAAAATAAAATATACAAAAAAACAATTGATAAAGTTAAAAGAATTAAATTTGCAAGTTGAAAAAAAGAAATCAAAAGAAAGTTTAACAGTTGAGATTGCATCTATATATATAGATGCAATCTCAACTGTTAAATATTTTTCCAAATACTTCATTATAACATTCATCAATTACCAAAAACAAGATCTTTTACTAAGCTGTCAAGCAATCATATTCCTCTGTTTTAAAATGATAATATTATTAGAAATTGAATTTTTGACGCGTTTAGTTTATCAAATTTAAATTCAATTCTTAATAAAATTAATTCATGAAGTTAAGTAAAGGGCTCAAATATAAAATGAAAGTAAAACGCTGTGTTAATTTTCGCTTAAAAATTTCCCGATGGTCAGTGTGCGCGTGTTTTCAAACTCACAGTCATAGTAAAGTGGAAACCGTGTAAAAATAAATATAAAATTTTAATAGACCAATCAATATCGAAAGTTTTCTAGTGATTTTTATCGGTGTAGACATTTTGTGTTAAAATTGTATTTGATCTATAAAAAAACAAGCGTATGGATCATAGTCGGTCTATATACATCATATATATATATATATATATATATATATATATATATATATATATATATATATATATATATATATATATATATATATATATATATATATATATATATATATATAATATATATATATATATATATATATATATATATATATATATATATATATAGGGGAGAGCGGGGTTGGTTGTCACGCGGGTTGGTTGTCACAAAGTTTATTACAGGAAATGTAAATAAGATATAGAAATTTTAAATTATACAATGGAAATGTTATATAAAAAAAACATTCTTACAGTAATTTTTATCTTTTCTTAGCGTGCAGAAGAAAAGTTATTCGTTTTTATAGGTTTTTGATATGAAAAAGTAAAATTTCGCCTACTCAGAAATTTTCTTTTACCAAACAAAAATTATTTTATTGTGTTTTGAATGTAGATTTATAAAGTACTTTATTCATTTGAGTAACTTAATCCGTAAAAAAATATCATGAAGTTCTCACGCTTTTAGGTAAATGTACAGGTGTCCAGTAACTTACTCAGAAGGGGTTGCTTGTCACAAATTATATGGGGATGGTTGTCACACTTGCCTCGACTCCATGCGCTGCAAATTAAACGCCGCTTGCAGAATATTTAGTGGCTTTGTTTATTTTCCGCATTATTGAGGAATATTTTAATGTTTAAGATATTCTTTAAAAATCTAAAGTCAAAGTGTTATATTTGTTTAACTAAATATCTGTAATCTAAATTATTTTTATTTCAACGTGCATAACTTTAGATTCCGATCCAATGTTTAGTATAATTATAGAAAAAGGATTGCAGAAGTTCAACTGTTTATTTTTTTGTTTACAAACTAAACAACTAGCTGTTGTTTAGTTTGTAAAACTGTCTGTTGTTTTGTTCGTGCATTGTTTATATTTAGTTCGTTTATGTATATATATATATATATATATATATATATATATATATATATATATATATATATATATATATATATATATATATATATATATATATATATATATATATATATATATATATATATATATATATATATATATATATATATATATATATATATATATATATATATATATATATATATATATATATATATATATATATATATATATATATATATATATATATATATATACATATACATATATATATATATATATATATATATATATATATATATATATATATATATATATATATATATATATATATATATATATATATATATATATATATATATATATATATATGTATATATATATATATATATATATATATGTATATATATATATATATATATATATATATATATATATATATATATATATATATATATATATATATATATATATATATATTAATGTTTTGTTTACATTATTTGCAAATATTTTTATTTGCTTAGTAATAAACATGGTACGAAATTTTAAAAGAAAAACTAATAGAGGTTATACTTCTGGAGATGTCATAATGTGTGCTGTTAAAGATGTAAAGATTAATAACATTTCTATTAGATCAGCAGCAAAAAACCATGGCATTAATTACAGAACATTAGCACGTTATTGTAAAAAAATTATTATTACTAACCCATCACATGGTTCTATAGCAGATCTAATTGACAAAATTGAAAACCCCACCTCCCTGAATGTTATAGGATACAAAAGTCGATTGATATTGCCAGAAAAAGTAGAAAAAGAACTGGTCACCTACCTGTTGCGAGCAGCAGATATATATTTTGGTTTAACTCCTACCGAAGTAAAAAAGCTTGCTTTCCAGCTAGCAATTAAAAATAATATGAAGGTTCCCAATTCTTGGGTTGTAAAGGAACAAGCTGGTAAGGATTGGTTTACAGGATTTATAAAGCGCCATTCAAATATTTCCATTAGGCAACCTGAAGCTACTAGTTTAAGTCGAGCGACAAGTTTCAATAAGCAGAATGTTGCATCATTTTTTAGCAATTTGCAGCACTGTATGCAAAAATACTCGTTCTCACCAAATGACATTTGGAACATGGACGAAACTGCTGTAACTACTGTACAGCAACCTAAAAAGGTTATTGCGAAAAAAGGATTAAAACAAGTAGGAGCCATCACGTCAGCTGAAAGAGGAACTCTTGTAACATTAGCATGCACAATAAATGCTATTGGAAATAGTATTCCACCCTTTTTTATTTTTCCTCGTAAAAACTTTAAAGATCATTTCCTAATCAGTGCACCAACAGGAAGTGCAGGAGATGCAAATCCTAGTGGTTGGATGAAAGAAGAAAACTTTGTAAAATATCTAAAACATTTTGTAGGCAAT